CCCCTCCCCTCCCCCTCCCCCACCCCACTCCCCATCTCGTTCCTCCTTTTCTCCTGCAGGAAGCGATGCGCCGGAGCCTGCAGCCCTGGCTGTGTCCAGCTGACGATTTGAGTTGATTTTTGCAAGCCATCAAAGGCCAACTATTTGTCTTCCTAGATCCAGGCTTGAGTGGGCCAAGCCCCCGTTGGCTGGTGGTCCCAGGGGCATCTCCAGGGCCCACTGGTGGCCACCGGGTTTGGGGAGCAGGGGGCTGAGGCAGGAAAGTCAGTGGGGGAGTCTGTGTGGAAAGACGGGTGTATTTCCCAGGCCAGACACTGGGCTCCAGCCTTGGGTTGTGGGGGGAGGGATGGTCCTCTGCCTACCGTGACAGCGTTCCACACAACATCATTCAGACAGTGTCCCTTGGGGGTCTGCCACGTGCGATCTGTGAACACGTCCTTCCCAGCCTCCAACATGGGGGTGGCACCTGCATTCCCACTCTGCCCCTCAGCATTCCACAGGCATATGAGCCCCAGAACATCAGAGACATCACAGACCACGCCCTCCGGCACCCCTTACCCTTCTGTTCCTTCCTCTTCTGCCAAGAGGCAACGGCTTGTGGACTCAGGCAGCCGGGACCAGAGTTGCCAAGTAACCAGGCTAGAACCATTGCAGGTCCTCTCCTGCAGCACGGGAGTTGGTCGCTGTGATGATAAAGTGGCAGAGGCCAGGGCTGGAGGAATCCAGCCTTCAGGCTAGAGATGAGGGAAGCAGATAGCCAGGACCCAGGCAGAAGCCAGGAGCACCAGGATGCCGACAACAAGCCTTGAGGTTCAAGGGCAGTCCCCACCCCTGTGACTGAGGGGGCGTCTTCCACCCTTACAGGTCATGAGACCAACGTACCTTCCCTCGGCCACCTGATGCCAGGTAGTGGGAGCATCCTCCCAACACCCAGTGCGTGACGGTACCTTCCCCGTGATCTGGGCGCCGTCAACATCTTTCTCCTGAATTGCGCGTTGACACCTCTCCACATTTGGGGAGCCATGTCCCCCAACTTCTGGGTGGTGACAGAATCTCCTTCCAACCCCTATCTGCCTGGCACGCTGCCTCCCTGTGGGCCCCCGTGGGTGCTGCTTTTCTCTCCACTCTCCTTGGGCCGGCGCTCCTGGGGAGAGGTGAGCTTCCCTGTCCTTCCTGCTTGGCGCGTCCAGACCGGTGTCTTCTTCACCAAAAAAGCTCCAGCTTTGAAACCTCACCTTATTAACAGACCACCCCTTTCTTAACAGACCACACAGACTACAATCGACCGAAACCTTCCTGAAGGGTTTACTCCTGGTTCCCTGTCACCTTCTCCAGACACTCCTGTCACAGTTTCTGGTGATTTCAAAATCCACACGGATGAGCCTCCAACTTTCTGGACTTCCTCGCCTCCATGGGGTGTCCTGGTGTAGCGTCAATAACTAAGCTCCGGATCCCAGGTGCTGGGTGTTGACTGTAGCTCTCAGTTTCCCACCCACCCTGGAGGCCCCACCCACCGGAAGCCCCGCCCACAGGGGCCAGGTCGGGGCTGGAGCCTGAGGCGGAAGGTCCAACGCCCTTCGGCTGCTGTTCCAACAGCGTCGCCTGGGGTCCTGCCTCCTCCCTCCACATCCCCATACCTTTCTCTCAGGTCCTGTCTCCCGCACGACCACTGGGATGTATACGCAGTAGCCTGGGCGAGAGGTGACTGTGCCCTGGACCAGGGTGCACAGGTGTACGTGGTGAGGACTGTGAACTTCTTGGGAGAGTTTTTTGCTGTTACTGCTGCTGTTAGATCATTGAAGGGCTTAAAAATAAAAGCAAGTGTGTTAAACATGATATAGATACTGTCTTAAAGGTTTAAGGAAGTTTAAGGTAGTTTGTAAATGAAACCAAATATTAACCAAAGACCCCTTTATAAGTGGCTGTTGTAATTTCATAAATAGGATATTCAGGCAGGTTTGTGACTAGAATTTATATATTTTGTGGTCATGTTATTAGGTGCATACAAATTTAAAATCTTTTTTTTTACCAATGAACTCAACCTTATATTGCTATGCAACCTTCTGTATCTAATAATGCTTTGACTGGCCCGAGGCAGGGGAACGCAATCAGACTCACAGGTTGCATCAGACCGAAACTTTCCAGACCACCCAGTTCCAGAAACTGACCTGGAGACTTTCAGGACCACCCGGTTCCAGGAACTGACCTGGGGACTTTCCACCCGGCCCAGCCTTCCCGCCTTTCGAGGGGCGGGACTAACGGTCCCCCAGGATACCCGAAAAGACCACCAAATAAGGAATACCCTGCGCCCTCCCAGATTCACCACACCCCTTTCCCTTCTTCCGCTATAAATTCTGCCCAAACCCTCGCCCGGGCGCGACTTCCCTGGCCCGTTTCACTCGGATCAGTGAATCTCGCCCGGGAGCGTTCCCAAATACAGCTTGCTTAAGCTCTCCTCTGTTTCTTGGTGCCGTTCCTTACAGTAAGATTTCTTTGTTAATCTGTTAATAAAATTGTTAATGTAGCCACATTGGCTTCCTTTTAGTTAACATTTACCTGGTAGGTTTATTTTCATCCTTTTACTTTCAGTTTCCCATATCCTTATATTTCAGATGATTCGTGTCTTCTGTAAGCCACATAAAATCAGATTATTTTTAACCAGGCTGACAACCCTGGTCATTTAGTCCCCTTGGATTTCAGACCTCTGCTCTGTAGAACTTTGAGGGAATCCATTTCTGTTGTTTTAAGCCACCAGTTTGTGGTGACTTAAAAGCCACCAAGACAGGGAGACACGTGCTTCCAGGTGCTATCACTTTGTCTGCCTAAAGCCTTTGTGTTTAGTTCCTCTTGTCAAAAGCAGATGATAGGGCTTCCCTGGTGGCGCAGTAGTTGAGAGTCCGCCTGCAATGCAGGGGACACGGGTTCGTGCCCCGGTCCGGGAAGATCCCATACTGTGGATGGGCCCCTGAGCCATGGCCCCTGAGCCATGGCCGCTGAGCCTGCGCGTCCGGAGCCTGTGCTCTGCAACAGGAGCGGCCACAGCAGTGAGAGGCCCGTGTACCGCAAAAAAAAAAAAAAAAAAAAAAGCAGGTGACATTCAATGAAGTAACTAAAAGAAAATAAAGACTCTATTACTGTATGTCAGTATTAAGAAATTAGGAGACGTATGCCATGTTTTTGTTTTCTCTTTTTAAATTTTTAATTTCTTTTTAAAAATTTTAAATTGTTGTATCTTTGCCATGTTTAATAGTGGTCATCTGGGGACTTCCCTGGTGGTCCAGTGGTTAAGACTCCTAGCTCCCAATGCAGGGGGCATGGGTTCGATCCCTGGTCAGGAAACTAAGATCCCGCATGCCGCACCGCATGGCCAAAAACAAAAACAAAAACAAAATAATGGTCATCTGAAGGAGATTGAGAGATTTTCACATTCTGTATTCTTTGTTATGTTTCTGGTTTTCTTTTTATAATACTAATATTATTTATGCAAGGAATGCGTCGAGATAGAAACTTAAAAT